TTCAGTTTTCTTCTAAACAGATTTATCCATTAATTATGTACCTATTTATAATGAATTGCCATTACTACAATTTAGATTTCTAAAAAAAAGGAAATCTCATCATTTACAAAAAATACCATCCTGTGGAGACTCTGGATTACCAGCTGACTGCCGGAAACTCTGAAGACCAAACCAAACATATTTATTCAATATAGTTTTTCTCATGTTGTAAGTTAGACAAAATATATACAGTTAGTCTCGTTTATATCTTTGTTATTTTGCGTCGCTACATTTTGGTGACCCCGACGTGATTTTCGTCGCTGTCGAAGTTAAGCAGTCTCTCTCGCCGACGTACCTGAAATTGGTTTCAACCGGGTCCCTGCGTTCTTCAAACCCAAATACCAAAGTAGGGTTTCCAGCGAGATTTCGAGAAAAGTTAACGTGAGCGATTAGTTACAGTAGCGATTGTCAACATGCCGGAGGAAGAAGGAAGTGATATGTCTGCAGTTCCTTTGACAGCAGTTTCCGTGAAGCTTCCGACCTTTTGGACCGATTCACCAGAGGTATGGTTCATCCAGGCCGAAGCACAGTTCGAGGTAAAGAGGATTACCGTCTCGCGGACCAAATTCAACCATTGCCTAGCTGCGTTGCCCCAGGACGTTGCCTGCCGACTTCTAGACCTGGTCCGAGCTCCCCCTGCCGCTCCTTACGAAGCCCTGAGAAGTCGCCTCATCCAGATGTATACGTTGAGTGATTTCCAGAGATATCAGGCGTTACAAAGTTTGCCTTTGTTATCTGACCAACGTCCTTCTGAGCTAATGGATAGAATGTTAGTTTTGCTCCCTGAGGATGAGAAGCCTGGTTTTTTCTTCAGAGGATTGTTTATGGATCGTCTCCCTGCTGATATTCGAGCACATTTGCTCTCTGAATCCATCAGTGATCCACGAAGGATGGCTCTGCGCGCTGACGAGTTATGGATGGTTCGTGGACGCAGTGTTCCTGTGCAGGTTCTCTCTGAGCAGTTTGAAGATGTTTATGCTTTGCCCCGGAGAAATTCGTCCACTAGGTCTGGGACTCGTGGTTNCTCTCCAGCACCTCTCCGGAAAGCCCCTGGAATGAAGAAGAAGGTTCAGTTCTCATCTCAAAAGCTTTCTCCTCTCCCAGCTCGTAGGAACCCACGAAGAAGAGTCCGGGATAACCATCGAGTGTTTCATCTTCTTCAACACCTCGATGCTGAGGGGACCCCTGTGGAGACCCTGGATTACCAGCTGACTGCCGGAAACTCTGAAGACCAAACCAAACATATTTATTCAATATAGTTTTTCTCATGTTGTAAGTTAGACAAAATATATACAGTTAGTCTCGTTTATATCTTTGTTATTTTGCGTCGCTACAATGATATAGATTTAGTTGCAAGGTTCATTCTAACTTCTTCTTTAATCTTTTTCTCAGCCAGGGTCCAAAAATTAATTCAATACAGAGATAATCTGGTTAAGTTGGGACCGGCAAGTTTATAAAAACTTTTAGAAAAAAATTTGTAAAGAAAAATTATTTTTTTTTAAAGATTTATATTTTTTATCTTGGGTTCCAGGAATCGGATCAATAGAACTAAATATTCCAAAACTTTCCATATATATTTGGAACCTGGTGCTGTAAACCTTTGTTATTTTAAACTTTGATAAGGGTAAGATACAGGGATTGCTCTTTTATAAAATTAATTTTTGGAAATCTGCTGACATGAATGAACTGCTAACATAATTTTTTCTGAGTAGAAATGATAGAGTTATTCTTCTTTTTCTATCTGAAAAATTTATTTTCTGTTGCGGTTTCTTGTTAAAGTGATTTGATTGCGGAAGTATGTAGAAGAAACAAGGAATGAAATTCAGAGAATTTTTATGTTTTTATTATCCTAGGAAAACAACGATTCTAATTCACTTCTAACTAATAGAGCACCTTTGGGAATCACAATCTATTCAAGCTCTATTGAAGGTTTATGAAAGAGTAGATTTTTTGAAAAATGTAGATTTTTAATTTGTATCATTGATTTCTTATTCAAATTGTTCATGTTCATCATAATAGTTTGAAATAAATAAATTAGTTAAAAAACTTAAAGGTAAAAAGGTGCAAAAGATAAGTTTTTGTAAAATAAATTACATCATTTCCATTTAAAATTAGTTAAATACAATTTATCTTTTTAAACTTACAAACTTCTAATTATTCTTTTTTTTGTCACATGACGTCAGCATTTTGCTAAGTTTCTCTTCTTAAAGGGACTGTAAGCGTAATTCCGAGACCCTTGGCCCATTTAAAGGGACTGTAAGCGTAATTTCAAATAACTCTCCATACAAAGATGACAATGCCACTCGAAAAGATTATTTTTGTGAGTTTCTCCATTGTGTCTTTTAAAAAAGAAATGCGCGAGTCATTTTCGAGGAGAAACCACAAATGAAAATAAACAGCTGTTGAAGAAAGAAAAACATGAATATCTAATTCATACTTGTTCAGACAAAGCTTTCAAGGGTACCGTTGTAAATCGGGAATTGCCATCTTTACATGGAGGGTCTCTTGAAAAAGATATATATGTCTGATTTTTACCAGCGCCATTTATTCATTTGTATCCTTATATCCTTTTTCTGTTTAAAAAGGATTTTTTGAAAATGCAGAATTCAATATTTCAAAACATTTTTAAACATTAAAAAACTTTTACTTGCCGCATTCTCTTTAATTCTGGTTCGTTTCTTTTATGGATGGTTTTTTTCTTTTCGTTTGTTAGTGAATTAAAAAAAAATTCCGTTAACTTTCAACTAATTTTGTAAAACTTAGGCAATTTTAGATCATACGACACGAAAACCTGCACTGCAGTCTAACATATAATTCATAATTTAAATCTCAAAAGTTTAATTTTATTACATCGTGGTATAAAGTGCGAACTGTTGGCTCTGAAAGAAGATATAACTGCATAATGCATAAAAAAGCCTGAGTTGAAAAAAACATATTAAGATAGTTGCAATACATCATTGCTTTCCTAGGTGTCTGTCTGTCTGTCTATTGGTTGCTGTCCAATGAACGTGAAAACGGCTGAACCAATCGGACACATTTGCCTGTAAAAATGACAACATTTATCATTTGTTTTGAAAATTCTCTAATTGAAAAGAGAAAATCCGGGAAAATTTGCAGCTACTTTCTGAGCAACAGTTGAAAAATAACAAGTTTTAAAGGCATAAGGGCGCGCAGAACCGTAAAAGCCTGTATTGTGAGCTGTGCATTGTAGGTTAAGTAGCCGACATTTAAGCTTTATTATGCATATTCACAGTTTCTTTACTGTTTTGTTGAATGTTCTGAGCCCGCGATTTAAAAAATTTGGGAAAATACGGCTCGGGTCTAAGCTGTCGTTGGACTTATTTATGACTTGAGCTTATGGCTTGAGTTCAAAAAACCGGTTTAATATTTTATTTGGCGGATTTTCATGGTTATAGGAATTGACGCATTCGGTTTTTTATGAGAACAATACTTAGCCTCATTCTCCACATAACAAACCAAGGTCGGTTTTATTTTCATTGTGCCTAACTCCTTAAGTCGAGCCGAAGATCTTGCAGCTGTCAATCACGTGACACAAGCTATCGTCAGAGTTGGGTCGAAGATTGGGTATTTAAGTCGGGTTTAAGGAATTACAGCTCGAGCCGAAGTTTTTAAATCACGGGCTCTGATGTACTTATTTAATTTTGTTTAAATTTTTTCAATTTACTTTTCTGACCATAACACATAATACAGATTTAATTTTTATCATTAAAATGATTTTTTACGAATAAAAAAAACATCATATTTTGCCTTTGGACATATTTCCATCTCTATAGAATTATATAAACTTTACTCCATCTCCTTTCCTTACAAAGTGTTTAGATTTCTACTTGAGAATTGATGGGTCTCAGTTGAAAGTAAACATTTCAAACTCCTTGAGTACTTCAGAGTATAAAATGACATTTTTGTACAGATATTTGGTTTTTATATCACCATTAAATTGAACATGTTTTATCCTTCTCTAAAAAATGGTTGCATAAAAAAATTTCGAAACGTAACTGAACGCTGGCTTCAAACTCTATTCTTCTAATTTTAAAGTTAAAGATTAAGGAAGTATCGATTAAACAGATCAAGGTACTAATGCAAGGAAAGTTAATTGCGGTCGCTTATACTCTGCGTACATATTGAAACCAGTTCTCTCTGGGCGGACTTTGTAAACAAGAATAGATGCATCAGTGTTCGTTCAGTATTCGAGGAGGTTAAAAGCATTTAATTTTGATAATTTTGAAAATTCACATAAAAGTTTCCTTTGACCAGAATATTTCAAAGATTATTTTTGTGAAAATGGATTCCATGTCAGGTGACATCCGTCTTTTGTTTACTTTTCCGTCCAAAGACAGTACACTGCAGTACAAAAAATGCGTACACCTCTGAAATAACTTTCCTTGCATTAGTACCTTAGAATAAATGATTTAAATTTGAACTGGTAGAAACTGGTATGTGTAGTTCAGGGGGGATGATAGTTCTCTACCTGTGTGCTCAGTTAGCTGTACTGTACACTTACAACTGTTTACGAATATTAATATACTATAGGTTAGGCCTCAGAATCAACTTATAATAAACAAATATGCAGTACGCTCTCGGTATAGTTTATGGCCTATAAAATTAGTAAAGGATTAGCGTACATCATCACTCTATACACTATAACCTCGTTGGTGTAGTTTCATCTAAATTAATCTTTGATATTTCAAACTTTGACTAATTGATCTAACAGCTAGTTATATTATAGTTAAATATGTCAAAGATCTATGGAACTCTTTTATAAAGATCAATGCTTGATCTCTTTAGAAAACGAGCAGTCAATCAAAGAACGGAGAAATTGCGGTTATCCAAAATCAAAAGATCAATCAGATTCTGCGTAAAATTCAAAAGTTTCCACTTTGGATATCGAGATCAAACGAATTTAAAACATTTTTAAGGGACTATTTTATTTTATATTTTAGGCTCCTTCGAAACCTCTTCGTGTGACAGCCTCTTACTTCAGAGCAAGTCCATTCTTTCTTTTCCACATAATCTTCAGGGGGATTTCTTTAGGTTAGTTTTATTAAGCCAAAAAACTGTTTACTAAATTTTTCACATAATCTTCAGGGGGATTTCTTTAGGTTAGTTTTATTAAGCCAAGAGACTGTTTACTCAATTTTCCACATAATCTTCAGGGGGATTTCTTTAATTAAGCCAAGATACTGTTTACTCAATTCCACATAATCTTCAGGGGGATTTCTTTAGGTTAGTTTTATTAAGCCAAGAGAGTGTTTACTCAATTTATCATATAATCTTCAGGGGGATTTCTTCAGGTTACTTTTATTAAGCCAAGAGACTGTTTACTCAATGTGAAGATTATTAAATAAATATTTATGCATAACGCAGTAAATATTGAAAAATCACAAAGCCTTCTATTTATCTATATTTCTTGCTTGTAAGCTTAACCTTTGAATTTAAACGATTCATGTTTTAAATCTTGAATTCCTGGCATTTATTTTGACTTTTGCAATGAAAAATACATCCTTTTTTTCTATATACTTCAATATTTTTCAACGTAAAGTTCTAGAGTCTGGTAAACCAGACGTCTAAAAAACTTAGTAAAAACTTGAAGCTAAGGCCTTTGCGCCATTCTTATCGACTAATAGTAGATCAAAATTGGACATACAATCATGAAACCATTTCCATCGACCAATAATGTGATGTACAACCAGATTCGTAACCAATGAAACTATGTAAAATAAATCTTTGTATAGTTATTATATATATATGTTTTATGGACAAACTGCAACCCTTTGTGATTTAGTATAAACACCATGTAAAATCTATGTATTGCAACTCAACCGTAAGTTATTGCGAAATATACTCTGACGGACAAAACAACATCAAAGTAAGTTATTTTATCAGTAACTAGTAAGAGTCTTGTAATCTAGTACTTTAGGTTCTCTATTGTGTTGAAAATGAAATGTTAAACTACTAGAAAAATCAACATTTAAGAAAACTATTCTAAGAGAATTATATTTAGTCAGTCTTGAAGAGTCAACTAATAAATTAGATTTTAGCTAAAAATTTCAACTTAAAGCACATTAGAGAAGTACTGGATTATAATATAACTATTCGTGTTTTGACACATCAATTTTCTTCAGGGGGATTTCTTCAGGTTAGTTTTATTAAGCCAAGAGAGTGTTTACTCAATTTTCCACATAATCTTCAGGGGTATTTCTTTAGGTTAGTTTTATCAAGCCAAGATACTGTTTACTCAATTTTCCAAATAATCTTCAGGGGGATTTCTTTAGGTTAGTTTTATTAAGCCAAGAAACTGTTTACTCAATTTTCCACATAATCTTCAGAGGGATTTCTTTAGGTTAGTTTTATTAAGCCAAGAGAGTGTTTACTCAATTTTCCACATAATCTTCAGNCCTCTTGACTTAAAAAGAAGCAACTCTCTAAGTATATTTAAAAATAGACTACTAAATTCTCTTTTTGAAAATTATAGGACAATGTGTTATAAACCGAATTGCTATTCATGTAAAACTAATTAGATATGTTTTAATATGCTTTGATATTTGTTGTGTACATGTCAGAAAATTACTTTAAACTCTAGTTATTCGAATTAATGTCTAAACTATTTTGTATAAGATAAATTCGCAACCTGATCTCTAATCGTTCTTCTTAAATCTATTTAATTGAAATGTTTTGTTTTTATTACTAAAATTAGGTGGAAAAAATAATCAAAACAGCCAAGAGCTATTTTCCACCTAATTGCTTTATACTTGTACTGTTAATATAATCATCAATTTGTAATTGTAAACTCTATCTGTATACAAATACATTTATTTTAGCAATAAACTTTATCTTATCTTATCTTATCTTATCTATCTTATTTCTTAACTTATCTTATCTTATTTTATCTTATCTTATATTATCTTATCTTATCTTATCTTATCTTATCTTTTCTTATCTTATCTTAACTTATCTTATCTTTTCTTTTCTTATCTTTTCTTATCTTATATCTGTTATAAACCCCATTTAACTTTAGATTTTTGAGTTCCAAATATAAGTGAAAAATTCAAATTTAATCAAACTAAATTTCTCTTTAATATCTGAAAACCTCCACTTTAAAATTGATTTTAAAAATGCTAAAAACCTTTATTCCAAATTTATATGTAATCGTTAAAAATTGCAAAGGTGAGAATCAGACGACTAAAATTTCAGTAATCTACCCCGAACCTCGATCTTGGGCTTGAATCAGGAACTGAAAATAATATTATTTTATTTGTCTATTTAATGACACTTTAGGCAATGCCAAAGACCACACAAATCAATTCGTAATAATTTAGCATGCTTAATCTGTGCAAAAACATAAATTTTATTTCTTCAGTCGAACATTAGACATTAAACAGTCGGATTGTAAAAGATATGGATTATTGCTTTACAAATGGATTAAAGATATTAAAATTTTTATCTTTGGCTTCGGAAACTAAATTCTCAATTTCACCGTACACGGTACAAAGCACTTTAGGCAAAAGGCACGATAAAAAAATCATAAACAATGTTTTAAACAGTAAAGTTCTGTGGTTTTTCGCAGTAACTATTTTTAACAATTTGGTTTGCAGTGCTTTAAAGTTTATGGACAGAAACTTTATCTTTAAAAAGAAGGTTCAAGGCTTTTTCTATAATATTTTGTACTCAGCTTTAGCAAGGGACAAAACATATTCTAAGAAAGACTTCTACGTTAGAGATACAGAGAAAATTCAAGTCCAAAAATTATAGTGTTATTGGTAATTTTATAAATGTTTGTATTCTTGTCTTGACACATTGGTTTATTCTGGATAAAATAAACTTTTATACAAAGCAGAGAGAAAAAAAGTTGATTTCGATTTCATTTTAATCAAATCGAAAAAAAAAATTCTAGAGATATTCTTGATTTTTTAAAGAAAATCTGGGAACCAGTAAACTTTCTAGCATTCAGATAAAATATACAGTTTAATATCATTACAAAAAGATTACTTTACAGCACTTCTATAATAAAATTTACTTTGAAGTACACAATAATTTGGTAAAATATTTAAATAAAAACTTACGGCAAAAAGAAGTCAGATCTCCGTTTCCAAAACAATACAAAGCCCCTAATAAAAGAGCAATTTTGATTTTAAAAACAATGTAATAATGATTTATGGGATTTGTGCAATCAAATTTAATTTAAATTAAATAATTTTTGAGATTAGAATTTCATACCATCCAATAACTATTCTCTGGGTGCCAATATTGGAAAAACAGTTTTTTTTTGAACAAAAGAGGTATTTTGATCTTACTGAATTCATAGTTTGAAATATATCTAAAATCTACGACATTGGATTGCAATAATATTGCAAACTCTGATTTTCTAAATCCTATATCTTAGTAACCCAATGATGTAGACCATATAAAAATTCTAAGTTTTATTACACCATCTGGTTGCAAAGCTAAAGGTATTAGAATATTTGAGTGTGTGACAAAAACTCAATTCCTATACCTGAGCGATCATTCATCTTGGTGTAGATACATCCATCATGGCATCCAGCTTCAACTGCAGATGCATTGTTGGTAGTATTAGTGTACTTTTTATGCAACAAGTAGGTTCCACATCTTACATCACCATCATATATATATAGTATTCAATACATTTCATGCAACAATTAGGTTCCACATCTTACATCACCATCATCATCAGCTACTTCTTATATATAGTATTCAATACATTTCATGTAACAAGTAGGTTCCACATCTTACATCACCGTCATCATCAGCTACTTCCTATATATAGTATTCAATACATTTCATGCAACAAGTAGGTTCCACAAGTAGGTCCTGAAAAGCATAGTTTTCCATCAATTTCAATCAATATAATAAAGCTCTTTGCCCATATATATATATATATATATATATATATATATATGCGTGTATATATGTCAGCTATAGCTGGCCAAACGGCCGGACCAACTAATTAGTTGTTTAGAAACAGTTTAAGAAAATAAAAATTAACTATCATCGAAAATAAGTAAACTTATTCAGTTATTGGTTTCTGTAATGTTTCATTGTTTAAAAAAATAGATTCTTAAAACTTAACCACCCAAACATAGATGATTTTGGACATCAACTTTGCGCTCAAACTCAGTAATTATACTTAATTAAAACGTTTTATATGTCTCAAATAAATCCTAAAAAATTTCTCATATGACCCCAGGGCGGAGTTATGGATAATCACAAATTTTGTCTTGAAAAAATGTTGCCATTTATCATTTTTGAAAATAAGTAAATTGAAATTGAAAAATCCTCGAAAATTTGAGAATGATTAAAAATTGCGAAGTACCAAGCAACAATTTTTAATAGTGCCTCAAAAGCCTATAGTAAATGAGCAGAATGGAAAAGATTGATAAGGATTAAAAACCATAAAGAGAATAGTTCACAATAATTTGATTTGAACTTTTCTTTTAAGTTCTTGTACTAAAAGCAGCTTCTCGGTAAAACCAAACCAATTTGTTTCGGAAAGACAAAAAGCTGTAAGATTTGTTATTTATACTGGTTAGAACTTAGAAGGTCTTCAAATGTTGTAAATATCTGTTGGTATTCTTGTGAATCCTAAGATTACATGGTTAAAAATGAGGATTAAAAATCAGTATTTAAAAAGTTGCTATTAGGCTAAATCTCACCTGTGCCGGGCAGCACTGCAGGGATAGAGTATATCCAATAGTAGAGATGAAGAAGAGAACTAGAAGAGTAGTTTTCATCTTGGAGTTCAGGATTGGAATGAAATCACAGTTTAAACAAGTGTACCATGAAAACTATTTAATGAAGAAATTCTGTTATTATTCAATAACATAAGGGTTTTTATAGTGTTGTAAAAATATGATTTTGGATATTACAGCATTCATAATTTCACGTGGAGAGAAAGAATTTAAAAAATAGCTAGACCTGAAACTAAGGCACCCGTTCTTATGAAATATAAAAAAATGATCTAAAGCTTGTATTACCATTTTATATCTTAGATTAGTTTATTATATTATTCTTAAACTTCACAATACTTTGGTCGTAATTCCCTTTTGGTCGGTTTTCATACCATCTCTTAAATCCGATCTAAAGGGAATCTGATCTAAGATGAATTTGAACCACACAATAAGACTCTCAACAAAAACTAAATTTTCAACAAAAAATACAATAATAAATATGTTTCCAGGAAGTCAACAGGAAGTCAAATAAAGTGAAGAATCTGATCTTAAAAGTGTTAAATTTAAATTTTGAAGTAAGTCTACAATGTTGAAGTGTAGAATTTAAATTGTGAAGTAGGTCTACAATGTTGCAGTGTAGAATTTATATTGTGAAGTAGGTCTACAATGTTGAAGTGTAGAATTTAAATTGTGAAGTAGGTCTACAATGTTGAAGTGTAGAATTTAAATTTTGAAGTAGGTCTAGTGTTGAAGTGTAGAATTTATTAATCTCTAACCTAAACCCTACTCATCTCTAACCTGAACCCTACTCATCTCTAACCTGAACCCTACTCATCTCTAACCTGAACCCTACTTATCTCTAACATGAACCCTACCTATCTCTAACCCACGTGGATTATTAGGGTTCCAAATCTAATGCTTGACTGCATATGGATTATTAGTTTTCCAATGTCTGAGTGACTTCACATGGATTTTCAGGTTTCCAATAATTGACTCTGTATGCATATGCTTGACTCCACATGGACTATTTAGGTTCCAAGGCTAGACTCCACATGGACTATTTAGGTTCCAAGGCTTGACTCCACATGGACTATTTAGGTTCAAAGGCTTGACTCCACATGGATTAGATGGGTTCCAAGGCTTGACTCCATGTGGAGTTTCCATTTCTTTACTCCACATGGAATTTTGAACTCTGTAACATTTTTGTTTTCAAAACTGATCAATAAAACTTTTTTATGAGAAGTGTTTGGATGTAATGATTTCAGAGATGGTAACTATTGTATTTTGTTTAAATCGTGAATTTAATCTTTATCAATCTGCCACCATTTTAAACGGAAAACAAAAAACCTGTCAGAACCTATGGCATTTTGAGTTCAATCAATGACTAATGAGAGAAAAGGAAATGTATGGGATTGGGTACTCAACGTAAAAGTTCCCAGCTCTTTTAATCCACGTGGTTTCAACTATTTCATAATACAGTTTGTTTTTTCAAAATTAACAATAAACAGATTTAATAGTACTTTTAATCCAACCACCATTTACAATACAAATCCCACACTGCTTAAAGCAAATATTTTGAAAGAAAAATGATTCTTAATAATTCAATTATGATTTTCCAGTATTATTATTATTTATTTTTATTTCTCAGTATTATTACTAAACATTAAGCCAATGCAGGCCGTGGAGGTTTAGAATTTCTTTTCTTGAATCTGCCACAAAAACTTAAACCTAATTGGTTCCGTTGTTTTGAGGATTATTGGAAAAATATAGACAGATAAGGCATCTACTTATATAAACTTTATTGTTTATGACCGAGGGAAAATTTATGACTGGTTCAAGTTTAAAAATTTGGTCTGAAAAAGGTCGAAATTGGTATTTTTTTAAGTGCACGAAATAAAAAATCCGCAAATATTTGAGTAGTTTTAAAGCACAAAGCGCCCTAAAAGCCTTTTATTGTAGATGAAGCAAAAACTATACAAACTACTTTTGAAGTTTCAATGTTATTTTTTCTAATTTCTAATATTAAAGTTCTTCATTCCAAAAGCTTTCACACCAAAATTAAATAAAATTAAAAGAGATACAAATTAATTATTTGAATTGTATTTGTGAGATTCAGCTGAATAATCACGAAAAATATTTTGTTAACAATAGACATTCTTCAGATCCAAATCCATCTGTGATAGTAACTTTAAGAGACCCTTCTCTAAAAAAAGGGACTTGCCTGATTCACAACAATACTCTTCAAATTTGAAACCTTAATCTGGAAAGAAACATTAAGAATAAATGGTTTAAAAAATAAAAACATAGATATTGATACAAAGAAGACAATTCATTATGAATTATCATATTTCATTTATTGAAAAAGTTTTCATGTTTGGTTTATTGAAGAAATTCCGTTTACAGTCCAAACAATTTCTGCACAATCTTATTTTTCTTGTATAAAGGTTCAAAGAACCTTTTTTTCAGAAAAAAACTATTTGTTTAAACTATGTTCATACTTAGACTTGATTTGTTTGCTTTTTATAAATACAGGGTAAGAGCAGTAAACACATTTTATCGCTGTAGTTGTTAAAACATAACAAATAATCTGTTGTTTTTATACAGGTACAGGTAATTTTATTTCTGTAAATACAAGTTGGATAATGTCTTTTCCCCCTCTTTATGAGTTAATTTAGTCACTGGATTTCTAAGCATTCCTTAGATGCAGAAAAATGTTTTTATTATATCTTACATTCACAGAGATATTCACAATATTTTCTACAGACTCTTTATGAAAAAAGTGTGTTTAGGCTTTTTAACATCATTGTTTTGGGACAAAAAGTGCATCCTTTAATGGAGAGGTCGTCTATGAATCATTATTCTCTAAATACCGTTTTAACCCTTAAAGTAGTCTTAATTTTCGAAAATATGCTCAGTTTCTTTTAAAGCATATTTTATTTCCTATGTTCAATGATAGAATTATAAGGTTATTTTTAAATAATTGGCGAAAAAAGATATTTGCACATTTTGGAGTATTATTAGGCATCATTTTGAAGGTTAAAACGGCATTTAGAAAAAATTTAGAAAAACATGTTTAAACGACGACCCCTTCAATTGTGGTGATTGTACCTAACAGGAGCTTTTTAACACAAAACTATGATTTGTGGTAGACACAAACTTTTTCTAGTGACACTCAGTACATCACTTTTTGATTTATTTTTTTAAGTTTTATTTTTGGGACTTTGCAGTTGGTTTTCAGTTTTTTAAATATTTGAAAGAATTATTCACCTTAGCACTAAAAGAATTACATGAATATAGAATACATTTTGTTAACTCTGTCAACTAATCTTTTAACAGCACTGGGTTTCCAGTGAGTTTCGTGGTTTTATGATTGGTTTTTTAAAAATATTTATTTCTTGGCTGCCCTTATGTTATTAAGTCATCCTGAAATTCATTTTGTCCCAGCTATCCTGGATAAAATCACTTCAGCCTAGATAAAATATTCTCAGCAGGGATATAATACTTATTACTTCCCTGCTGCCAATATTATATCCCGGCTATAGTAGGGAAGTAATACATATTATATCCCTGCTGAGAATATTTCATCTCGGCTGAAGTGATTTTATCCCGAATTTTAATTATTAAGTTGCGTATTTTCACATTTTCACAAAGTATTTTGTGAGTTTAGTTAAAAGTTTCAGTATAAATGAGAATGTAATCATTCTATACATTTCTACTTTAAAAATCAACATCTGGAGTCACAAGCAAGCGTGTTCCTGGATGAAAGCGACAACACAATAAAAATGAAGAGGGAATTTGCTCGAGCAAAGAAATAAAACCACCTATATACCTACTAGTGGAAGGGAGCTAGAAAAATAATATTTCGGCCAGTATTTTTATTTTTTGTCGACTTTTTCAACCTGGCCGAAATTTATTATTTCCCGCCTCCCTTCAACCAGTAGGTATATAAATAGATAATCGTTATTCTACAAATACCTAGACCTAGTTCTAATTTAGATTCTGTCCCGGAAACAGAATCATGTTTCCGGCATTGGTCTCTACAGTTCGGCTTCCTTCCATATATTGTTTTAGGTAAATATTTGGTTTAAATCCTGTTAACAAATATTACAAATTAGCACATTTTTAATAAGACCTTTCCTTTATTCATAAATGCCTTCTAAAGACTTCTTCTGCAATAATGGATTTCAATAACAATTGGAATTCCAAACCTTTTATCCAATTTAAGATAGAGCAAAATGATTTGAAAAAAATCGTTTTTCCAAAAGTAAAGGATTTGTTTCTAAAACCTTTAATATTTTAAACTAAAATGATTTGATCTAACAGAATTCATAGTTTGTAATGTATTGTACTGTCTGCAACATTGGGGTTTAACGATGATTAGAAAATTAGAGTTTGTTGCAAAAACAAAAAGCTCTTTTTTTAACAGTTGTTTTCATTTTGTTTTGAAATAAATACAACTGTAATTGGACACTTTGAAACAAAACAAAAACAGTGGTTTAAAAATTAGATTTAAAAACTCTCTGAATTCCTGGACAGCAAAGAGTATACTTGTTAAAAATAAGTTTTATTTTATGAACATTATATTACTAAAATTGAGAATACACTTTATAAATTCCCCAACCTCCTCTCTCAAAGCAATTCAGTAATTTTGGTTGTATAAATCCTTAGAACTGTTTTCTTCAATTTAATAGATAAAAAAATGTTAACTGTAAATTGTGTTAAAGATCCTCCATGCAAAGATGTTCACATTTCAGTTCACAATGGTACCCTTGAAACCTTTGTCTAATTACCAATGTGGAAGATACTGTTGTTCTTCTAGGTTTAAAAGTATTTAATTCTGATAATTTTTATATACTTTTATAAAGAATATGCAATTGAAAATTATCTGCTTTTAAAAATTTTAAATATTGATATTGAAGGGTGTTAGGGTTTTGAATCGGGCGTTGCAATCTTCACATTAAAGTTTACTGTACACTGAACAGCCATGTTAACATAATGGACCTGTCTGTTAATAGATAACTGTTCATGAATAAAATGTAAAAAAGCACATCTCTATTTTGATGTGAACATAGTTCTGCAATAAGAATCAAAATCAAAACTTTTCTAAAAACCTTTTTTTATCATCTCATTTCTCTCCAGAGTTGTCATTCCAGAACTTTGTAAGATTTCAGTCTCAACTTTTTAAAGTTTTCAGACCTGAGTTTCTTTTTATTGAATAAAAACTTCTATTGTTTATCTTTCTGTCTCCGCCATATTTCCTAATGCCAGGTCTCTGATTGTAAGAATAGGTTTAAAATGTTTAATAATTTTGTCAACCATTTCAAATGTATTTCTCCAAGAGCTTATAGATACACTTGCCTAAAAACATAATATTACTGTGTTACATTGAAAACATAATGCACTAAAAGTATAATGAGTATCTGTTTCCAAAATGAAGTCACAATCACGTGACGTCTCTGAACGTGAAAATGCCGCAAAATATTTAAAATTCTTTCCAGGTTCCATTTTCTACGTTGCTGTCGTCGTTGTTATAATTGGAGTCCTTGAACCATCATGGTTGCATCTACCAAACTATCTGGACTCGGAGTCCAACACAACAGGTGTTATCTAACAGCCTACAATGGTATCCATGAAACTGTGGAATAAAAGACGACATTTAAGCAATTTTATTTAGTTTTGTATTGTTGTAAAGCAAATATTTTTACCAGTATAGTTTGATATTCAAGTTAAAACTGAACAATTGTTATATTTCATGTTTATTGAACTATTTAGGATTTTAATAATAGTCTAACAGTCGTCTTCATTTTCCACAGTTGTACTTGTATAAACCTCACTTTGGTCTCACTTTATAATTTATTCCATTTTGTTGTAAATTTGGATTCTGAATCTGATGTGTACAAAAAGAATCCGGACCCGTCTCAAAATTTGCGAAACCAAAATTTAAATATAAATTTGAGAGAAATCTGATCAGTTAAACGTAGGATTTTCGAGTTTCAAATATAAACCCTCTGAATATTCCTTAACCATGATTATTTAGTGAAATCTGACTCTGCCTACTCTTCCCTATACCTGGAGAAAAAGAAACCTGTCCTGCTTCCAACTTTTCAAAAGTTTTACTCCGGACCAGAAACTAAACTCTAAGAAATAAAAGTTTTTAAGTCTTGTAACTTTTAGTATTTATTTTATTTGTAGGGTTTCACAAACCCGAATAGACATTTCAAGATTCAGATTGTATTTTTTTAGTTTTAGCTATGGACAATTGTAAAACGGTCTTTTACTGTTAACTATGTATATTATTTGTATACTCCAGCAGACGCTACTTTTGAAATTCTACAAATTCTAACAAAGATTACCTACAGGGTTACCCACAAAGGATCAGACTTTTAAAACAACTTAAAAATCTTGAGATATGACGATTCTAAGGTTACATTTAATCTGGTGGCTTAAACATAGTCTTGCTATTGGGCACAAAGGAAGTAAATTTAAACATAGTCTCCTATTGGACACAAAGGAAGTAAATTTAAACATAGTCTCCTATTGGACACAAAGGAAGTAAATTTAAACATAGTCTCCTATTGGGCACAAAGGAAGTAAATTTAAACATAGTCTCCTATTGGACACAAAGGAAGTAAATTTAAACATAGTCTCCTATTGGGCACAAAGGAAGTAAATTTAAACATAGTCTCCTATTGGACACAAAAGGAAGTAAATTTGAACATAGTCTCCTATTGGGCACAAAAGGAAGTAAGTTTACAGTTGCAGGGAATAATGAATATAAGGAAATAGACAGAACAGATTTCATAAAATCATCGCTGAAGTCTCATCTGTTCTCTGTTTTTAGGTAACCCTGTAGTGGTTGTTTTTATTTTTCAGTTTTGGAATCGAATAAAATCCAGGAACTGTGCAAGATTCACGGTTTTAAATATCAATTTATTCCCTTATTTTCTTGTTTTAAGAGTAGTAGGTTATCTTATTTTTGTTATACATGGGGATACATGAGAAGAATGTACAGAACGTATATATTTAAACATGTACTTATATATAAATATATAAGTATATATTTAAACAGAATTAAAACATTTTATCAAATTTATTCTTCTCTTGTGAAGGTAGAAATTTGAGAATATTCAATTAAAAAATATTCTCTTTTTATGAATAAATTATGTAACTTAAAGGGACCGTCAACATAATTAGATATATTCTCTTTTATGAATAAATTATGTAACTTAAAGGGATTGTCAACATAATTAGATATATTCTCTTTTTATGAATAAATTATGTAACTTAAAGGGACCATCAACATAATTAGATATATTCTCTTTTTTGACATAAATTATGTAACTTAAAGGGACTGTCAACATAATTAGATATATTCTCTTTTATGAATAAATTATGTAACTTAAAGGGATTGTCAACATAATTAGGTATATTCTCTTTTTATGAATAAATTATGTAACTTAAAGGGACCGTCAACATAATTAGATATATTCTCTTTTTATGAATAAATTATTTAACTTAAAGGGACTGCCAATGTAATTAGATATATTCTATTTTTATGAATAAATTATGTAACTTAAAGGGACTGTCAGCATAATTAGATATATTCTCTTTTTATGAATAAATTATGTAACTTAAAGGGACCGTCAACATAATTAGATATATTCTCTTTTATGAATAAATTATGTAACTTAAAGGGATTGTCAACATAATTAGATATATTCTCTTTTATGAATAAATTATGTAACTTAAAGGGATTGTCAACATAATTAGATATATTCTCTTTTATGAATAAATTATGTAACTTAAAGGGATTGTCAACATAATTAGATATATTCTCTTTTTATGAATAAATTATGTAACTTAAAGGGACCGTCAACATAATTAGATATATTCTCTTTTTATGAATAAATTATGTAACTTAAAGGGACCGTCAACATAATTAGATATATTCTCTTTTTATGAATAAATTATGTAACTTAAAGGGACAGTCAACATAATTAGATATATTCTCTTTTTATGAATAAATTATGTAACTTAAAGGGACCGACAACATAATTAGATATATTCTCTTTTTATGAATAAATTATGTAACTTAAAGGGACAGTCAACATAATTAGAAATATTCTCTTTTTATGAATAAATTATGTAACTTAAAGTGACTGTCAACATAATTAGATATATTCTCTTTTTATGAATAAATTATGTAAATTGAAGGGACTTTCAGCATAATTAGAAATATTCTCTTATAATGAATAAATTATGTAACTTAAAAGGGGCGGTCAATGATTTTTAAATGTTGGGTTTGAAAAATTTACATTGATTGAGGTTTAACTTTAAAAGAAACAATTATGAATCTGGAACTTCTAACTACGTCAAATGTTTCTTTTTAATACATTTATACTGCGAACTCAACTTTAAACAGAATTAATGGTGTGTCTTTGCGACAGGGAATTTATTTATATTTTCTCTCAACGCAGTAAGTTGTGTACTGAATTAAAATATTCTCAATTTAAATTGCAACTAAAGAAAGTTAAAATTGAATCCTGATAATAACAAGCAGCTTTTTAATGTAAATTTGTATCCCAGATCCCAACCTCTAATCATTTTTACATCTTCTTGATCCTATGTTTTGTGGAAATCTCTGTATGAAAACAATTCTAGAGCCTAAGCTTTTTATAAATAATGATCTACAAGGAAAACAGCATAATATTTTTCCCCTGAACAAAATATTTATAAAGAAATCTTTCTTATTCAGCAATATTTATTTACAGTAAATGTTTTCATTACAAAACCATGCAATTTAGGTACGGGGGAAGCTTATGAGGGGGTATGGGGGAATATCCATCTGCCCCCTCCCCATGGGAACAAATGGTTTAAAGCTAGGGAAAGGAGCCAGCATTTAGCTCCTATTAATTAAAATTTAAGATCGGGTTCATAAAAAGTTTTCTTTTGGTGCCCCCTTCAAGTTGAAATGGTTAATTAATTTAGATAAAGGTACTGTAAAGGAAAAATGAAAGGGGGTATAGAGAATGAAACCTGAGAATCTCAGGCGTTGAACGATACATAAAATTCATATATATATATATGCGATTTTGTTTAAAAGTTGTAGGTTTAAACAGATCATATTCAGCAAATACAAAACCAATCTGAAAATATTTTGCATTTTTAATAGATATAATTGATAATATTATTTCATTTGAATTATATAGTCCGTATTACGTCACCAATGTCAGTGCAATATATACAGTATACGTGATTTGCGTCTGTACCATGTGACAACGAAACTGCACTGTCATTGCCTGAAGTTATTGTGACGTAATACGTACTTAACGGACTATATGTAATATTATTATCATTTATATCTATTTAAATTGCAAAATCAAAATTAATAGAATACAGCATTGTATTTAGATTGATACAGACTGAATTTTTCTTGAAGAACATCGAGTTTTAGAGCGAGTTGTATCTCTACGATCCATATTGAGAATACAGAAGGTTATACCTGGATTTGTACAGACTTAAGAGAACTTATTGGAGTAAGGCATTTGTTACAAGGCTTTTACTTTTAGACATAAAATTCCCAGCTTTGCCCCAGAGGAATGTTAAAAACAAAATTTTGTGGAAATGTCATTTATTCTAAAAGTTTGTTCAGCTGACTTTTACTTTTGGACATGTAGCCAAGAACACATTTAATAATAAATATTCTAGCTTTGTCCCATAGGATTAATTTTATATAAAGAGTACATACTTATCCTTGAACACTTATACAACAATAGAAAATTATATAAATAGCATAAAGATAAGATATATCTTCTAAACCAAGGAGTAAAAGGAATGCAGAGGAGGGGGGGGGGGGGTTGCCATTGACACACTACCTTAAACTGATTTTGTGAATTGTGGGCTCAAGTTTAAGTTTTGTGGCTTTTTGACACAGTAATAAATATAGGAAATTGTCAAAATGTAACACTTCATGGCAAAAAAATGACGATTTCACGAATTAATTAATAATAATCACATTCACTAATCATCAGTCTGGTCTGAACTTGGAGACGAGCAAGGTAAGATGAAAGTTGTTTTTTTTACTGAAATTAATTCACACCATACTGTCCATAAAAAAATTAAACAACGCGGGCGGCAAGGGTGCAGAAAAACAAATTTTTAAAAATTCTAAGTGAATAAAATTTCAAAGAAAAATGTTATATATTTGAGATGCACCAATTATATTGATATTTAAACTATTTTGTAAGGATAATTCAATCTAATAAAATTTACGAATGCCTACAAACTTCCAAAATAAAATCTCCTGTACGTACTCCTTACTTGGCCTATTAACCTACCAAAGTTAAGAAACAATACTTTACTTATTTATTAAATGCAATTTGGTGGTGATAACAGAGTGAGAAGCTTCAAAAGTACTTAATACACTAAAACTAAATAGATACCTTTCATGAACATAATAATACAATAAATAATAAAAAGGGTAACAGTCCAAAAGGGGGCAGGGAGGGGGAGAATTAAAGATACAAAATACAATAACAGTTTACCCTGAATGAGCTATCATTAAATTTCCAGCTGAAAATTGGGTCACACACTGCTCTGGCAGTGATTGAAGAGGCCTTTATATAGGGTTTGAAAGGGGGGAAAAAGGGTATCTGCGTTGGGGACAAAAAGGGAGGGGAGGCCTGGTTCGTAGGGGCAATTAGGGCCTTCTAGAAAAGGGGGGTAAAAAGGATATAGATACAAAGGGAGGGAAGGCCTGCTTTGTAGGGGCAATTAGCGCCTTCTAGAAAAGGGGGGGCAAAAAGGGTATGGATAAAAAGGGAGGGGAGGCCTAGTTCGTAGGGACAATTAAGTCCTTCAAGTAGGAGGGGTCGAAAGGGTATTGATACAAAAGGGGAGGGGGGAAAAAATCGGCTCGTAATTCAAACAGGTAATTAGAGTAATTAACATTAATACATCAGGCATTATTACAGCATAATTATAGATTGTTAAACTAAAGACAATTTAAATGTGAATAATATGACATCATTTTCTCAAATAAGATCAATTGAGGATTGGGCTTGGCTTGTGCTTTCATTAATCTAATTCAAGGTCCACGCCTTTGTCGGTACTGGCCTCACTTTCACTAGTATCACTAGTGTCTTCATCTTCAGATTGGCGGGGAAAGAGGCTGAAATAAAATAAATGTTTAGAATATATATATATATATATATATATACAGTGTCAG